TTTGGGAACGGCCCGTTCTGGGAAAACCAAAATAGGCAATTTTACACATTTGGAACGGCCCGTTCCACCTTTGCAACATCCCATTCTGCCACTTCAAAACCAGTATATTTTTATTGTTTGGAACGGACCGTTCCACTTTTGGAACAGCCCGTTCTGGGCCTAGAAAAATAAAATTTCACAAATGATTTAAATTATTAAAAACTATTAAAATATTTTATAAATCCCTTTAACTAACTATATAAAAATAAATAATAATCAACATTGTATTAGTAGAAAATCCAGGGTGTTACATGATTCAAAGACAAAATGTGATCACTTAACAATTTAGATATGTTTTGAGATAAAAACAAGATCTAAAGCAAATAAAATTAATATAAGTGCTTCAAATTAGGCTATAAACTTAATAAAATCATAGCACTTATCAGCAAGTAACTTAGCATTTTATCTCTATCTAGATGATAATTGATGATTAAAATAAGTTTTAGAATTGATTTGTAAAGAAAAATGGTATGAAAAATTGAGATATTAAGTTTTACTTAAAATAATTGATTATTTTAAGTAATAATTGATTATTTGTTCTTTTTTTAGTAACTTGAGGAGCAATTATTGTAATAATTGATTATTTTGCAAAATAATATATTATTTCAGAAGCTGGTTTTTGGAATAATCGATTATTGCTCAAAATAATCAATTAAATTGTTCTTGGTTGATTTGTAGATCTACTAAGAACAAAATAATTGATTATTCATGTTAATAATTGACTATTTCAGTTAGAAAACTTATATATATATATATATATATATATATATATATATCATTTTTCACACTTAGAATAGAGAGACTTGAATCTTTTTGATATCTTTTTTCGAAAACACTCTTTGAGAACCGTTTTTCTTTGCAAGAAGCGATTCTTTAACCTTTGTGTTAACCACAATAAATATTTCAAGAATTGAGTTGATCATCATATTCATGGAATGAAAGGATAAGCTACTTTGGTTGATTCACCTACTCTAATATTTTATGTACATCCGGTGAATTTGTTCCTTAACTTCTATATTTTGTGTTTTCTTAAGTAGATTTCTCAAGAAAGGAAAATCTTGTAATGGGGTGCTACAAGTAAGTACTTCTTGGGGGTATAAGAAGTGGTTTCTTTAATAGTGTAGAAGTGTATTGCATGTGGTATTGTGATTGTAAAACTTCTGATATTAAAGATTAATGAAAAATCTCAACCAAGTTCATTGGAGATTGGATGTAGGTGACAAGTGAATGTGGTTGAATCAGTATAAATTGGTTGTGCATTTTTCTCTCTACCTATACTTGACCTTACATTCTTGCAATTCTGTTTCTATGCTTGTTATATGTTGCCAGGCATACACATTGCATATAAAATTTAGTGAATTTAGACTTGCATTGAATCTAAAGTAAGTATCCTATATACAATTATAAATCCATATACTTCTTTTAAAAGTTTTAGAAAAGTTTTTCGAAACCAAGAAAGTAGCACAAGAATTTTTTAAGTAACCAATTCACCTCTCCTCTTAGTTAGGTCATCTTTCCTAATAATCTTGAGTGTGGTGAGAAATTGAAGAGATCCTACCTTATCTTGTGTGTTAGAAATGGCTTCTAACATCACTGGAAGCCATTGAAAGAGTTTGAAGGAGTCCAAGAAGTGAAAGATCCGTCCAAGAAGCTTAAAGGAGAAGCTACATCAATCTTGTCTCTCCTTAAGGTATATTTTAATAAAAAGATATTTTTATAAAAATTTTATATACCAAAAAATATACTATTGTAACCAAACATAAAATTTTTTAATTTTCAAGAATTCTGTATGAATATTCTTATGATCTTTTATGAGTAATCAAACATATTTTAATTATTCTTAGAAATTACGATTCTCGAGATTTGTAATTTATAGAACCATGATTTCAGCACATGAAAAAACTTATCCCCTGCCGAAAGCTTCCTAAGCTTAAGTCTCCTTTGTTTAGTGATGATGTTCGGTGATAAGTCATGGCTAACTAAATTATTGATGCTCATATGACTATTTAGTAGATGCCAAATTATATTATATGTGTAATTTTTCTAATCGTTTATGGTCAACCATTCTTTTATGAAAATAATAAACGTTATTAAAATAACTCTTCACTACAATTACCATGAGCAAATAAAATTACATGTTACATGTATTAGGTAGTCATGTGGACATCAATAATCTAATTAGTCATGTCTTATTCTTGAACATCATAACTTATTAAAGAAGACTTAATCCCACTAATTAATTTATGTAAAGAAAATTTAATATAGATTTAAAAGTTGACAAAATTTAAGAATGACTAAAAATCAAATTTTTAAAAATTTTAGAGACTAAAAATTTATTTAACCCCAAAATAATATACATTAATTATGAATTATCATTTAGAGTTACATGATTATAACTTATTTTAAACTTGATGTTTAAGTTATAATCTCTTTTTAAGAGATTGATATAATTAATTATATCAAATACTCTCTTATCTTATAATAAGTATTGTCCTAAGTTATTTTATACATAAAAAAAAACTAATAAATAAAGGAAAGATAATATTAATTTTACAATATTAACTTTATTATTAATTTTTATTTTTTTTTGCTAGAAATAATGCAATAAAAAAAACTTATTTCTACATAATATTATTGGGGAATAGATGAAAAAAGCTAATTAATATTGCAATGAAAAATTTAACATGATACTTATTTTAGGGCATTTTTTTTCTTCTAATACAATACTTATTATGAGACAAGAAAAGTATATTTTTATATTTAGATTGATGATACTTAAAATTAATCGGATAGAGGATAGATAATATGTAAAGAAGATAATTTGTTTAAAATTATTTGAAATTTATTTTAAATATAGTAGAATTATAAAATGATATGAAATTATTTATAGTAATTGATTTTATATTTGAAATACATAATTGTTAGAGATAAAATAAAAAATAAAATTTAATTAAAAATTATCTATTAATTTTTAATGATATGCTTTGAAATTTTGTGTGCGATAAAAAAAAATCTATAAAAAATTCTTTATCTCTTTAATTATTATTAGTTTTTTTTTAGTTTGCACTATATATTTTTTCCCGCTTATATTAAAAAGCTAACTTATCTATCAATTATATTAGACCGTGTTAATGTATCTCATTAATTATTTTAAAGAACATATCGTTTTCTTTATCTCTTTAATTGTTTTTAAGAAAAAAGTTTTGTCTTTATTAAGACATCCGCTAAAACAATCCTATTCAAGCAAGTTACTAATGGTCTAATGCTATATGTGATATTAAAAATATTGTTGAAACAAAACTAAATAAAACCAAAAGCAAAATTCATTATTTATCATTAAAAAAATCTTAATTTTAATCTTTTTCTGCACTTTTTTCTTTCCCTCCATTAAAAACAAAATATATTTATAGAAATACTTAATAATAGGAGACGAAAAGTCGAAAACACAAAAAAAAAAATGATAGATGAATTATGACCGTTAGATTATTTCTTTATTTTTAAAATTTATAATCACTACCCACCCACCTGTATTCATATTGGTTCGTGCGTTGGTTATTTGATAGATGAATTATGACCGTCAGATTATTTAAAATTGATATATATATATATATATATATA